TTGCAAACCACTGTATGTGCTGTGCCTCTGACGTGTTTAAGGCTTCTTCTGCCAGTATGTTCATTTCATATTAATACTATAACTTGCAGAATTTTATTCAGTTGCAGAGTATTTTAGATAGTTGATAGGTACYCTTCAGGCAGGGAATGCTGTGTGTGTCATGGTTATAAAACTCAATGGAGGAAGACTAAGTGATGAAGGCTGCTCTGAAATTTGGTGCTGGAAAAGTTTGAAAATTTACCTTGAAAATGCTTGAAAAGTGCTTGAATTTTATTGTGGGAAAAGTGTACGAACCCTGCACCTATGTGTTGCGCTCCAAGACAACCCAGCTGTGTACTGCTTCAATCCTCTTCTGGTTCTGCCAAACCCGCATCACTCTGTGATTTATGAATGGCCAAAGAGGCCATAGTTATTTACATAGAATCCAGATCATTCTTCCCCCAAGGCAGTAATAGTATCGGTGACTTGTATCTCATCTGAGACAACTATCTTTCATATTATTTCTAAAGTAATAACTGTGTAATATCAAACTGCTGTTTTATGAAATAGCTTTTACATGAATTGCAGTAAAATGTTGGGGACTGAATTAGACATTAGCTCATTCGTCCTGTCATACTTGAGGTCTTTATTTTCTAAACAGGTCGTTTAAGGAGCAATCTACAAGTGAGGCATTAATTGTTCATAATACAGAATCCCACATCAAACTGACCAAATTATCTTTGTAAGCTTGAAACAAGCTATGAACACAGGAGTTTTAGCTAATCTGCAAGTTCCCTCTTAAAATAATATTTACTGAATATTTTGATTGAAACAGAAACTGAATGTTTTGATTTTGTTCCTAATTAACAAACAACAAGCAAAAGTTCTTTTTTCGTTTAACATCTCTTCTGCACTTTTAATTTTATGTTTATGATCCAACAGGTGCATGTCACTGTCAGATCATGGACTGCACTTTTCCTGGATCTGTTGACTTGACCGAAGTAAAATTTGATGCACAAAGTGAGGAGGACTTCAAACACAACTTCAGTCTTCTTCAGGATGCCTTCAGCAAGAAGGGGATTACAAAGGTTAGTGCTTTCGCTCTAATTTCAATAAATGTTTTGATCACTAAAGTAGTTAATTAACAAAACCTGGTAATTATAAACAGGGTTCAACTGTGCATAAAAAGGACTTTTGGGGGTCATTTACAATAGCTTATGTATTGTTATAATAGTATATAATGCAATTAAAACTGTTGTAAATGCATGGGTGATTTATTAGATTTTCAATTTTATCCACATGGTTTTGTATAAGTTAGATAAACAAGTTAAACCATGTTTAATTGTTTATGTGCCTTTTGCATCTTTGCACAGTGGCCGACTGTCTTTCCTACTTTCTGGTCTTTATTTTATATTAACGTTTAGTTACAGACATTTTGTGATCTTGATCTTCTTTGCATTTGGAGACAAACAACTCACCAAAAACCACAAACAGTTTGGCTTTAGATCAAATAACTACAATGAAACAGTACTGTATGTTTGCTCATAAAGTGTGGGTATAGTGTTTATATCAATTTTTCTTTAATAAAGCTTAAGTTTTATTTTTACAGTAGAAGTCATGTTGTTGATTATGCCTCAAAATGTTGTGTTTTTATTTTGATGCAGACAATTCCAGTTGACGATCTTATAAAGGGGGATTTTAAAAGCAACTACGAATTCTTAAAATGGTTCAAAGTTTTCCACACAGCAAATCATCACAGTGAAGATTACGACCCAGTGAAAGCACGGAACAGCCATGAGATCAGACCAATAGTGGTATCTCCCAACACACGTAAGTGTGTTATAACTTCCTTTAACTTTCATTATAAACTAAATCTTAGTTTGGTTCAGTGTCATATTTACAGCACAGTGATTTGTTTTCTCTTACTTTGTCAGGAAGCTCTAAATTGGACTCCAGCTCAAACAATAACCACGATCTAAAAGCAACTAAACCATTTCCTTACACTGAAATGTGGAAGGATGATTTTAATTGGGCCAATCCCAGTCCTCTTGGTGAGGAGTATACTTACTGCTCCTCTTGTCACACCGATCTTCACACATTTGAAAAAGGTTACAATGAGCTTAAGCGACACACAAAGACAAAGAAACATAAGAAAAATACTCAAAGTTTGCAGAACGGTGACCTAAAAAGACAAGTCAGTGAGCCGCTGCCTTGTAGTGATGCTGCTGTTAGTTTCATTCACAGTCTCTGTTACACTGGAACCTCTAAAGGGGAGGAGGCAGCGAAACAATTTGTACGCTGTAAGCTGGGGTTGCAGTACCCCACAGATATTAAATCTGTTTGCCAGCACACTCCTTACTGCGTTTACATCTATGGAGGGGTAACAGTAGGGAAGAATGACTCTGTCTCTGTGGTCCTCATAGGGTATTTTGATGTAGAGGCTTCTACTCACCGCATCCGATTTCTGGATGCTCTGCAGTCAGTGGAAGGTCCAGGAGATCAGACAGCAGCAGCAGTGGTGCAGACCTTGAAGAAATTCGATCTGTCCACAGATAATCTTGCTGTTGCTGTTTCTTTAAGCAGTAGTGGTGAAGTCTCTGAGCAGATTTACTCACATCTCAGGGAGCTCAACCCAAACGTTCTAGCCTTAGGAGGGCTGTACACTGTAGCTGATGCTGCTTGTCATGCTGGGGTTAAGGAGCTCTCCAGTCAGGCCCAAGAATTCATGGTAGACCTTTATGCCCACTACACCTCCTGCTTTACCAAGAATGATGATCTTAAGATGCTCTTCGGCTCAGATATAAGTGAGAACAGCAAGCCTTTTTACCTCAACACCAGCTGCYTTAGATTTAGCCAGTTCATCACAAAACTGTTGGAGGTGTGGGCAGATCTAACATCTCACTTCAACACTTGTCACAAAGACAACGAGCAAGCCAAGTTAATCTGCTCCCAGCTGAAGGATCCCAAACTCAAGGCAACATTTATGTTCCTGGAGCACGCCTTAACGCCTCTGCAAACTTATCAACGGGAAACACAGGGGGCTTCCTGGGCCAAAATGCCACTCATCCTAGAGAAAGCTAGTACCCTGCTAGAGACGTACACCTCCTACTTTCTTCAGCCCCATCCTGCAACTCGCTACCTCAAGGAACACAGTACTCAAATTCTTCAAAATAAGAAGTTCCATCTGCCAAGCCATGACCTCGACCTCGGTGGGAAAGACGTTGAAGATCTTCTGAAGACGTCCGTGGCTGCAAACAGCCTGACACAGCTAAACAAAGAGGCACTGTTGTTCTACATTGCACTTACTGCTCGCATTGCAGAGGAGTTACCTTTGGGTGACTCTGTGCTAAAAAGCATTGCTCAACTGCTAAATCCTCAGAACAGACTAAATATGACAAAGACAGCAGTGGAGGAGCTTGGAACCAAGCTGGGGGTCTGCAGCTCCCCTGAGGAGGTCGAAGAGCTGAAAAGAGAGCTCCAAGAGTATCAGCTGGTTGAGGAGAAAGAAGGTGAAGATGAAGACAATGTAGCACTGGTTGCCCTAGAGAAGTACTGGACCAAAGTACTTAAAGACACCGAGCCCGACTCAGTCTTCAGGAAGCTTGTTTTGACCCTCTTATCATTCCCATGTCCTCCACTTGATGCCCAGCAAGTTTTTACTGAGGTATGTGATTGAATAATCTGTATCATAATGTTTTGTTTTTGTAATATTTTGAAGTTTTGATTCATTTTCTGCTCTTGATGGTTATTAGGCTTTACAGAACGGTGACTCTGTGATCCTTTCTGAGAGTGAAGTCTTAACAGAAAGTGATGGTGACGTCACGTCTGACAGTCCTCTCAGTGACAGCAACAACCACAAGAATTCCCAGTATCACAGTGTTGGTATGTTGAAAAACAAATAATTAATGAGCAGCAAATCTCTGTCTAATTTGCAACAATACACTTATAAATATGCAATTGTATGATGTAATTATATTTATTTGATCTGTACGGGCAAAAAATTACCTTTGATGTGACGCATATATTCTTTTTTTTTTTTTAGGAATAAATGGTCTCAATGTAACTTTGAAGCCTTGTGAAGTTCGCCTTTCAAGGATAAACTGTAAGGAACACAGTTCTAGTTTTTATTTGTACAATAAATGAGACATTTTAGGGATATAAACATTGTATTTATAATATATACACACATTTTCTAAAGATCCCTGTGATGTTTTGTCTGGAGGAAATGGCATTTGGTGGAAAAAGGTAACAYATTTCATCCTTTTTGTTTTTTAAACATTTCTGTTTACATTCTGAAGGTTTTGGGTTTTATTTTTTTTATAAAGTTAGTGAGATTACTCTGACTTAAAAATGAAGTTCAAACTGAAACACAACACAATTGTTTTTTTAGTTGTGATATATTTTTTTCACTTTGCAGACTCATGTACTAACAACTTTATTATCCTAATCTTCATGGTTGATGTAATCTCTCGAGTGCATTTTCCCCCAACATTAAAGTGTGTTAATACTTAACTACTGTGTTAATTTGCATGTGCATGATACTTGGGTGTGTAATAAGAGTGTGCTGTCTCTTAGGGGACCTGTAGGAGAGGTTCTGGCTTGGAGAGCAGCTTACGTCAGAAGCCTCAGGCCCGTACAGTGTTTCAGGCTGGTGTTAGCACCTGGTCCAAACCCATAGTCTCTGTAAAGGACTGCAAAGATCATGAGTCCAGATATGAGGTGGTAGGTATGCTTATGTATACTACCAAAAGTGGCCCATGAAAATATAATGTAACAGAAACTTCACAAAAAGTTCTGGGTTTTAAAATGAAATACAAACTGAATGTCATTAACTTGGAAAAGTTCTGCTGTAAACATTAATCATTGCAGGTATTTTGTGATTGGCTGCAATAGATCCACAACAAAAATCAAGACATTCATATCAAACTACTGGGATTGACAAATTGTTTCCATTTTCCATAAAAGACCTCAAATGAAATTAAAAGGTCTTCAATTTGTGTTTAGATATTTCTTCCTGTTTTCCACAGTTAGTAACCCTAGTTTCCTTTTTTATCTGAGTAGATATTCTAACTAGGGGTGTCCCAATACCAGTTTTTCAAGACTGAGTACAAGTACGAGTACTTCAGTTTAGGTACTCACCGATACCGATACCGATACCAAGTAGCGGGGTTAGGGTGGATTATCTGTTCAACTTGTTGAATATTAAACAGAATGAAAATCAAATGCAATTATCATGCAAAAATTGATGGGTAAATATGTTTGACAATAAAAAGGTAGTGCAAACTCTGACAAGTAGATAAGTTGGTATATATATAT